CCCTAAATTAATTTTGTTGTTACATTGGTAATCACAATCGGCAGGAATATAAAAAAAGTTCAAACGAGTGGAACACATAAGAGTAAGAAGCCATAAAATGGTGAATCAGAGTTTGAGCGTGGCTCAGTTAAATATATAACTGGGTCAAAACCACTAGCTCTTAATGAGAGATTCGAAAATAGCGATTATAAGATATATTTACTAATAACCATCACTATCAAACGGTTAAATAATTTTTAAGGCAGTTTCTATGATATATGATTTGCGATATCATTACGGCTCATGATTGTACCCATGATTATTTAGAAGTTTACTAAATTTCCAACAAAAATTTTTTTTTAAAAATTATAAATTTGTAGAGAGAAACACTTTATTTTCATAAAATATAAAATATAAAGGATTGCTGCCCAATTATATTGGGTTGCTATACACACAGAATTCTCTTCTATCCTTAGGACAATATATGAACTTATATATAAATATACAGAAGTTTTACTTAATATTAGTAAAATATATATATATATATATATATATATATATATATATATATATATATATATATATATATATATATACATTTTTATTTTTTTTTTTCCCCGTTTCCTCCCTTTCATTGTTTTTTCTTTTTTTTTTCTTTCCTTTAACATTTAGTTTCCCTTTCTCTCACTTCTCTCTCTATTGTTTTCAATTATTCATTAAATAAATAAATAAATACATAAATTAAAACTCTCGGGCTAGCCATGCACGTGGTGGTGAATGATTCCCAGGGAGTCGAGGACTATATTTTCAGCCAACCTCGCTAAGTCCTTAATGTCGACACCTAGTTCCTCGAGGAAGCTCCTTGTTCTTTTTGGGATAGTTCCGCGAGACCCAAACCAGAGGCCTCTCACGGTGAACTCTCTCTCTCCGAAGGTCTCACGGAATTTATCTTTTAGGAAAGGGATACATTTATCGTACGTGTTCTTCTTTTCCCTTTCCACTTCACCCGCCTGATCGAGGTCATTGCTCTCAAAGCGGACAGTTGGATCCAAGATCAGCGCTGTCCTTCCTGTCTTGGGAAATGCGACGATATCCGCGTATCTCGTAGAGCCTTCACTATCGATGCAATATACCTCGTCAAAGCAGGTGAATTTCCTTTCCCTAAGGAGCCTCATCAACTCGAACTTGTCCCGGTGGTGACGACGTGTTATGAGGAGGGAGTTGTTGGGGCATTTTCCCAGCACATGGGCTTAAAACAATTTGTACAAGGGGTCCCCATCTCCCCCCAAGTCCAATGGCGCATAAACCTCCTCCAGCCTCCTCCCAAGATATTTGATTAAAAACACTACAAATTAAAGTAAAAATTTGATAATCATAGATCATATACAATTACACTTCCAGTGGTTCGTTCTATTCTTTCCTCTTGTTCCCTGATTTAAAACTTTTTATTTTGAAGAACCATAACCAAGTCGAAATGTGCTCCCCACAAAAATTCAAAACTTCATCAAAATGTACCTCCAAAAATTTTAATGGCGCAACTTGCGCCTTAAAACCTCCTTCTGGGTATCTGGGTAAAGGAGTAATGTTAATATTTGTATTTCACACTTCAAAAAACAATAAAATATGAATTTTCATGTTAATCTAAAAATAAAAATTGTTTGCATCAAATTGGAACCCTTGGGATTTTTTTTCGAAAATCATAAAAACTGTAAATAACTTCAACGCGCTTCGAGGTATCCACACGAAAACTAGCAGGCATTTAGGGCCACACAAACTACAAGGAATGACACAAACCGAATCCTCCCAAAACTTATTAGAACTGTATTTATAATATTAAAAGTATTTCAGGAGTTTTTATTAATTTATTCTTTATGGAGTACCAAATACCCTAGAAAAAAAAAATAATGGTCATCGATTTTGGACCATTATTAGCTGATATACAGGTTATTGTATTTCATTGTCATTTTGGCTTAAAACACGAATGAAGTTTTGTAATAATTTTCTTTCTCTTGGTAGATTGCAATTACCGGTAAAATAGGAAATGATTTCTTCGTCTTATGAACCATTAATTTATTTATTTCCTTATTATTTTGTCATTTATTCACTGACCAATATTCTTAGTCATTTTTACAGCTTCCAGACGTTTTGTCATTTCAAGTTTTTAGCTGATCGAATCTGGCACCCGAGACTGCTTTACAAACTACGTAAATTCCTGGATCCTACATATCCGTTCCTAAGTAACTTATAGACACTTTAAAGTGACCCACAATAACGCTTATTCATGCCTCTTTTCCCAAGCCGCTGGTGTTTCTCAAAGTAGTATCCTAACTCCTATCTTTTACACAGTTTATACAGCTGACATGACATCCCAACCCATCCTATTAATGTCATCACCACGTATGCCGATGACACATGTATCCTATCAGTTAATGATGATCCAACAATTGCTTCCCAAACTCTCCAATAAATCCCGTCAAGTCACCTGTAACCTTCGTCGTAAACCAATGACTTCCTGTTCTACAGTATCCTTTAATAATACCCCGCTTATCCCTGTTGAACAAATCCGGTACCTAGGACTACATTTGGACAAACGTCTAACTTGGAATCCTCATACCAGACTTAAACGACAAAAAAACGACTACTCCAGCACTTACTAGACAAACGCTCTAAGCTTTCAGTTAATTACAAAAGATATATATGACTACAATAAGACCTTTTTGGACTAACGGAGTTGTGATTTGGGGCTCCACAAAGCCATTGAATTCCTCACGTATTCAATCCTTACAATAAAAAATCCTTCGTAAAATCCTCAATACTGTTTACTTTTTCACTAATAAAATCATCCATAACGACCTTAATGTTCCTTATGTTTCCGATCTGGACCAATCCAGATACCTATCCTTCCATAATAAACTTTAGAACCATCCGAACCATCTCGTTTTTAACCTTGATTCCTCCTCGATCCCTGATAACCCTGCGAGGCGTCTGAAGAGAAGATTTCTTATTGTAAATATTTTTTTTTTTTTAGAGTGCTACCAGCGGGTAGTTTCTCAACAAGTGTTTTCATGTTTTTATTTTCTGTTATCACATTTACTGAATGTCTTTTTTCTTAATATAGTTGTAATTATCATAAATAAAAAAAAAAAGTTTTTTGGCTAAATACGAACCTTTTTTTATGAATAGTGCAATCTCGATCTTACATAAATCATCAATTACTTGAATTTTACTGTAGCTGAAATTTACAAGATTTTTTTTTCCATGCAGAAACCACTTTATATTAATTGTAGTAAGTTTGTATTTATATTCCAAGTAATATGATTGAAGTTTACTAACTTAAAGTCTGCCAAGTGACTCAGTATAGCTTCCTTACCAGTTATATTGGGTGAAGAAAAATTAAAAAATAATCAAATTCGCAAAGGGAGGTTTCCTTATCAGGCACGTCTGCAGTACCTCTCGCAGGTAATGACGCCTACCTCAACTGCATCAGTTGGCAGTTATCAGTAACAGACTTGATCATTTGTTTATCAACCACTAACTTTCTTCCAAATTTGGGTCATCTCCAACGAGCGGCTATCGAGAAATAAGCGTATCACGGAAAATACACTTGCGCAAATTTAAAAGAAAGTTGACAATGGAATTCAATAAAAATGGTACAGCGTCATTTTTTTAGTAGTATCCACATTTCTTCAAAGATTGAGCCAAATTTAACTGGCCATTTCTGAAAAATGTGCATATTAAAGAAAATACATTTTCACATGGTTAACCGATGGATTTTGATTAATGGATGGAATTTGATGATATTGATATGGGACCATATAGGCACCTACCTGCACTATCTCTAAAATAAATGGTAATAGGTGATATCCTTGTCACATGGATTTGACTACAGACAGACACCAAACCAAATTTGATCCTTGATGTATGAAACGTAAAATGAGTGGAAATTTTTGATTCTGAGCATACAATTTTTTTTAACCTCCCGTACGAATACAAAGTTTCTCTACCTTCGGTAGTTAGGAAGCAAAAATAGTTTAAAATCATAGTAAAAACGGTGTGTTGTAGTTCACGAGATTATTTTCTACCGTATATCTTTGATATTTGTACTCTATGCTCTAAAACATTTATAATATACGTATATTTTTATAACTAATATTTATTGTGGATTCTAAAAAGACCATAGGAATTATTATTAACTAGCTGTACCCGCCCACGCGAGGCTGATTCTGGTAAAATAAAAAAGAAATTAGATATTTCTAATATATTTTATGTAACAATACTTGTGAATATGCGATATTCTTTGTTGTTCCATTCTTTGTATAGATGTAGAGATTGTGTGATTTTGCAACTCTATAATTCAAACATATATGTATAGAACATATAATTGTCAATATAAGAAGCAATCGGTCTCTAAGTCTACTAAGAAAAAATACTAAATGTTTAACGCATTATATCTCTGCACCAAATCGTCAGATTTTAGTGATTTTTTTTTTTTTTTTACAGGTAATCAAGGAATCTTTCAAATAATGATGAATATAATCTGTATACTTTTTGAGTTATTCGCAAATATATTTTTTAACCTATTGTAACTTTTTTTTCATACTCTTTTCGGGGAAGGATATTGTATACATAAATTAAAAGGGCTTCAAGGAGAAGCCCTTTTAATTTTAGCCAACTTTAGCCAACTTTAGCCAAATTATATTAAAATCGTTACAGCCGTTTAGTTGCTACAGTCTATAGCGACACAGGTTTTTCTGCCGCCTTTCCGAAACGAAAGATCGAAGAGTGATTAAATGTGTATGAAAACACTACTGAATACGATAGAAACATTTTACCAATATATCAAAGCATTCGGTGAAGATGTTTAGGAGATTAGTGATTTTTAGCGAACATTTACGTTTTTATCAATATATTATTAAGGATAAATTTAAATTTAAATTATGAAAGTAGAAGGCAATTATACTGAACTGCGAGCCAAAAGTGTAGTTTGGCATTCTATACATTTAATTTCTAAAGAAATAAATTTATTTCAGAGAGTGAAATTTTAGTTCTTCAAGAAGCGGGACTGGGCTAGTGGTCTCCAAGGGGAGCTCTCCGATTTCAGCCATTGCCCAACAGTAGTCAGCAGCGGCCTCAACCAAAAATACGGATGAGTCAAGGAATGTCCTCCCTAGCACACCTACTTCAGCTCCATGATTTTCCGATTTGTTGCATCTAGAGTCGATCCCGTCCTCTTATCTATTTGCTAAATACGTAATTAACGTGATAAAACGATTCGTAAGAAGAAGAATATACAGAGAAATTATTTTTAGGTATTGTTATACAATATATCTGATACCTTTTTGACAATAAATTGGTGCACATAACGAATTTGTCTTTATATTTATTTATAATATACAGGGTGTCTAGTAAGTGGAAGGAAATTTTTATAGAAGTGATAGTAGACCTTAAGAGCGAAAAAAAAGTTCATATAAACAATAGGCCAATTTTCAGCAGAAAATCAGCAAAACCAAGTTTTGTGTTTTTTTAAGTGAGTCGTGTTTTATTGTTGAATAAAAAGCCATAACTAAAGAAATATTTAATTCAAGTAATTAATATTTACTCCATTGTAAACTAGATAAAATTTAATTTAAACTAAAATAGAGTTTATTATTGTTAAAACCATTTAAAAATGACTTTTGTGCGACTAAATTAAGCTAAGTTCTATTTTTAGAAAAATCATTAATTATTCCCAATTTTTTTTTTGTCATCATCCAACTACTGCACTACAGATACATCACTTTTACAAAAACTTTTTCATTGATAAGCTTTAAATCCGTATTAATTGAGTTGAGGTATATTAGAAAAACTTTTGAGATTGAGCTCAAGTTGTTTAAAAAATGATGCTTTTTATTATGTCAAGTAAAGGAACCTTTCAAATACAAATAACTGTCGCAAAGATTTTATTTATTGTTTTTTTATGATCTGAGATGTATTATAATAAACCCAATTGCCTAACTGCATATTGTATATATAAAAGATCTTTTTTTTTTTTTGTTATTTCTTTATGATATTTACAACTGTATCAAATAAATACATCTAGTAAATTTGAGCATATGGATGTAATGACATGAAAACACTTGCTGAGTAACTACCCAATGGTAGCACTCTAATGATATGTCTACATTAGGAGATCACGGAGCCATCTTCTTTTCAGACGCCTAGGAGGGTTATCAGGAATTGAAGAGAAAGCAAGGTTAAAAACGAGAGGGTTGGGATGATTCTGAAGTTTATTATGGAAGGATAGGTATCTGGATTGGGCCAGATCTGAAACAAAAGAAACATTAAAGTCATTATGGACGGTTTTATTTGTAACAAAGTAGGGAGCATTGAGGATTTTACGAAGGATTTTGGATTGTAAGGATTGGATACGAGAGGAATTCGATGGTTTAGTGGATCCCCTAGCTCAATTCCGTAAGTCCAAATAGGCCTCATTATAGTCATGTATAAGAGTCCTTTGTAATTAATTGGAAGTTTAGAGCGTTTGTCTAGTAAGTGCTGAAGTAATCGGAAAGGTCGAGCGGTTTCTTATCGTTTAAAAAAAAAATTAATTTGAAAAATACTGATTTTTTAAATATTTTCAGGGTTAATTATTTAAACTTTTCACCCTGATCTCTATTATAGGAATTTATCTGTATTTATGTGTGGCAAAATAAATGTTCCTGATCCTAATATTTACGTTTTCATTTTAAAAGTAAACGTTTTCATTCAAGCCATCAGCAAGTTTTTGTTTTATTTTAAACATAACTTTTAGGACTAATAACTTTTATTTTTTCCTATAAAAATTTCCCTCTACTTACGGAAAACCCTGTTTATTAAAACGAATTCTTTATATCATACACATTTATTTTAAATATGTCCTATTTTATAACGAATTACTCTTGAAAGAACGATATTGTTTTGTTTTTTTAAATAATTAAATAAAGTTGATTATTTTTTTTTCGAAACTTCAACATATTTTAAATTTGACTTGAATCACTCACATATTTCAGTTCAATTTTTCTACTCAAGAGCTCCGTTGTTGCCAACAAATATGCGGTCAATGCCCTGAGGAGGAAGATTCTGCTTTTTATTTGTGGAAATCTAACATTTGTTTACAATTATAAAAGACTATATTATTATTTCTTTCTTTTTTTGCCTGATTTATTTTTTTTTATAACTTATATATTGAGAAATATTACAATATATCTCAATTAAGGACATTTATAATACTGCTCTGAGAGAACAATGACACTCTATTTACAAGGCTTGGGTTAAGTTTCATCTAACGGGTTTGAGTTAAACAGTTGGCGATGGAGGAAAGTATCTAGACAGGGTGTCGGCATCGAACCTTTGGGTTCGCTAAGCTTTTTACTATTATTAAATTTCACATCTAATGTCTGATGGTGATACCGCTACCGAAAGTAATCGTGATATTTCCAAACTAGAATTCCTTTTGGAACTCAATTAATTAATTCTATTCTAGGAAATGGAAATGTTTTAATCTATCCCTCGTACCTAATTTCTAATTGATCGAAATTTGTTTCTTTTTGTCAGCTAACTTCAGATACTAATATCTACAATAACAACTAATAATAAAAAATCCTTTTTCTTTTTTAATAATCATTTATGTACAATTAAGTAATTCGTTATTGAAATGATTATAAAGAAATAGTTTTGCATTATTTCTGTACATTTAAAATTAAAATTAAAACTATATAGTGACAGAATGTTATATTAGTCAATAAAAATTAAATGCTAATTGTAAGTAATCATGTGATCTTAATAAAATGTATGATAAATAGAATCGTCATCATGAAGAGTCATGGACCCAGGAATTAGATGAGTTATTTGGTTCTTGTTCCTATTGTAAACTTTTTTAAATTCTTATTTTAATGAAATTTAGAACTGTATTACATTAAAAATACAACAAGTAAATGTGACATTGGTAACATGACATGTACAACATGAAGAGAAACTACCCATTGGTAGAACTCAAATAAAATTTAAGATTTAAGTAAATTATAAGAAACATTAATTGTTTTCATTTAACAACCGATCAAGGAACATGGTTACTGATACACCTAATGAAAATTAACGTGTACTTAAACTATAATTAATGATTCGTTTTGATATGATAAGCCAGTCCATATTGGAGCAGTTAGTGTGGCTCCTGGGCTAAAAGGTTCCAAGGTACCCCTGCTTCGAAAACCCTTAATTCCTGTTAGGTATCTTCCTAAGGATATTATTTTCAAATTGTTCCGAAAACCAATATCAACCGCATTTTTTGTTAGCGGAAGTGAAAGAGTGGTCGACGACCCGCTGGTTCTTGGCAAGAGGCACAGGATGTTTTTTATCCTTTAATTATTTATTCATTTTGTGATTACACCAACCGCCTTCCAGAAATGTTGCTTTCAAGATAAATAAAAAAGGCATTCAAAATATAGTTTAGGCTATATTTGCATGCATAGATAGAACCTTAATGTACTGGGGTCATGTATTTTATATAATTTTATAAATTCTATGCTAGCTACGGTGGTAACTATAAATAAAGTAATGTATTGACAGTAGAGACGTGTATGAATCGATAAAATAAACCGAAGTTTATTAAAAAAAATACAAAAACAAAAATAACAAAACAAAAAAAACAAAACAAATAAAATAATATATATATATTTTTTTATAAATTGCACTTGAAAATTGCAGGCGTCTGGAGCGAGATTTTACCCGGTCCACTCGTTTTTAAATCGGCCAGCAGCCTATTTTCTCTGAATATGATTAAGAACAAAGATATAAATTTCGAAATTCAAACTGGTTTATTGTAATTTAAATTTTTAAAAGCTAATATCAATTATTAGTCCGTGGTACAGAACCCTTTTTATCGAATTATTAACATCCACCTGAAACATAGTAAATTGTTTCATCCCATCGTAACCTACAACTATTTTATTTACGAAAACTCGAGTGTTTTCAATCTGGAGGGGGGCAAACTTTATCTATATAATTAGGTACTTAAAACTCGTAAATAATCATTTGCTATCTACTTGTATTGTAAGATAATTTGATCACAAAATCGAGAAAAAAGACAGCCTTCGAGAAAAAATATTGAGCCGTTTGGCGTGACCTACATACCCAAATTTTCAAAATAACGAGGTTATATAGGGCAAACGGGACAATATTTTTGTAGGCCACCTTTTTTTATCGATTTTGTGCTCAAATTATCTTACTATCCAAATAGAATGCAAATGCGCATTTACGAGTTTTTAGTACCCAATTAAATAGAAAAAATTGGCCCCCCTCCAGATTGAAAACGTCCTAATTCCAAGAGTTGTAGTAAATAAATTGTTGTAAGTTACGATTAAATGAAACTTATAAAAAAAAAAAAATATTTTATTAAATTTTCGATGAGTTGAAACTATTTACCAAGTTTCAGGTGGATGTTAGTAATTCGATAAAAAGAGGTCTGTACCACGGACTATATTATTCTCGTTCTGTACCCTCCATCATGTCTTAGTTCTCATATATCAACTAAATAATTTTAAAAATATATTATTACTGTTATCTATTTTGTTACATTAACGTAATTAAAAATATTTCACAAGATGTAACTTAAAAAATAATTTAAAATATTCTAATGTAACAATTTATATATAAAAGAATATATTAAGGATAAAGTAAAGTACAACAGTGCTTTGAATTAAAGTTACTTAAATAACTATCGTAAACATACTAATTCTTATAGAATATTAAAGAATTGTTATTTTGATTAGTTTAGATAAATAATAATATATAATTATTTAAATTACTGCTACGTTCTCCAGAACAAACGAAAAAAATTTATAAAAACAAAAATTTTTACGAATAATTCACGATTATACAACTGAACTTTGCATAATTTAGTCGCTTGAAAGAACTTTTAAATGGTTTTAACAAAAGAATATTTTGGCTAGTTTATGATGCTCCAATTGGAAATCAGCTAGCTTAAATAATTTTTAGTCATCCCATTTCACCAGGAACGTGACTTACTTAAAAAACAAAAAAAAAAAAACACGAATTTTCTGGTGTTTCGCGTGAAATCGGACCATAGCTAGCCCATATTCAGTTGTTTCTTCTTCTTACAAACTTAATTATCTCTTGAAATATGCCCTTTTTTTTTAGGTACATCATGTATTATATACATAAAATACAAATCTGTAAATATCAATAT